GGGCGGGGCCGGTCTCCGCGTCCTCCTCCCCCCCACCTGCCCCACCCCGAGTTTCCCCAAAGCGGTCCCCGAAAACGCTCGTTTACTTAGTGCATTTAAAGAAGAGGACGAATACAGAACCTCAGCATCAGACTGTGCACCAGCCGTAACGTTATCCTGGAAGCGCCTTTTCTCGAACCTGGATTTTTCAGGACTCTTTCTGGTCCCTGAGTTGAGAACGTTTGGCAGGGCTGGACTTGGGGTCCGCACAGGTGGAGGGCGGGGCATGCCTGCTGCTCCCCGGACTGGGGGTCCGCACAGGGAGAGGGCGGGGCATGCCTGCTGCTCCCCGGACTGGACATCCTCTCTGCACAGGGCTCAGGGCCCCGCGGTTTTGTTCCTGGAGAGCTAGCTCCCGGCCAACCCGGATGGACACTGAGCGAGGACCCAGGGTTGACCCGGTGTGGCCAGACCAGGTGAGCTGTGGGAGCTGTGGGAGGAGCACAGGAGGGGCTTTGGTCGTGCTGAAATGTTTCTGAAACCAACACATTTTAAGGGCGCTCATTTGGCAACTTTAGTGAGACAAGGTGTTGCTTTTCCTGAACAGGGAAAGCCTGGCCCAAGTCCAGCAGAAGGCAGGGGCCTAGGAGCGGCGATGAGAAGGTACCTCGTGGCGGGAACTAGCCACAGCTCCGTGTCCACGCAGCTCTCCCACAATATTGCGGTGAATTCTCAGGGTCTACAGCTGGCCCCTCGTGTGGGCAGTCAGCACTTCCCATTGCAACGCCCACTGCTCGTCCTGCTGTGTGGAGAGGTAGTTAGGCCGTCGCCGAAATAACAGAGCTTTCTTTTGCACAAGCCACAGCGTCCTCCACGGGGGACGGTGCCCTCCAGAGAAGGTCTTTACAAATAGTTGATCGCAGGAACTGGAGCCCCCTGGCTAAGGTCTCTCATTCTATTTCTGAACGGGGTTCATAGGAGAGCCAGAGTGTAGCCACGCGGACACCCCCTTACTAATCAAAGTCGATTTCTGAGTCATAATGAACAGCGCTCCGTCCTTAGAAGAAAGGAAGCTTTGACCTTTGGGGTATGGCTGAAACCCCCACCGTTTGCAGATGCCAGATCACACCCAGTGGTTCTCAACCTCGGCTGCACATTAGAATCATCCCACCGTTTGCAGATGCCAGATCACACCCAGTGCTTCTCAACCTCGGCTGCACATTAATTAGAATCACCTGGGAATCTTTGTAAAATCCTGATTTCTGGGCCTCATCCTCCGAAAATTCTGTTTCTTTGTTATGGGGTGAGGCCACAACATGAGTAACAAAGAAACAGAATTTCCGGAGGACGAGGCCCAGAAATCAGGATTTTAAAAACATTCCCAGGGGATTCTAATGTGCAGCGAAGGTTGCGAACCGCTGCACTGGACTCTAGGGAAGGTGCCGGGCCAATGGGCAGGGGAACGAGAACCACCTGTTTAGAATGAGAACAGCTCCGTCTTTATCGCCTGCATTTTGCCACAGGTGGTCCTTCTGTCATGTGACACTTCTCTGCGTTTAGAAGGATCCAACGTCTCCTCATGTCTGACCTCACTTTGTGCACAATTTTATTCAGTTTTATTTATAGATGTTTTGATAAAATATAAATAGAAATGTTTTATACTCCTATCTACAACATGTAGATGTCTTTATATTGTGTATGTTTTAGAATATCTGATATATCTACAAGATGTTGATATATAGAGGCGCTATTATAGGTATATCTTATGTGGATGTCTCCTGTTTGTGACTATTTTGAGAAGAGAAAAAATGTTTTTGAGTAAAATTTCGATTTTTCAGAGCCCTCGACCCTCCCTGCGGCCTAGTCTCTCTCCTTTGCCCTGTTGTTGACGGACTCAGATTTATGGAAACCCCCAGGACTCACCGTCACTTTCTGCTCTGCTCACCCTGTGACACACGCCAACCCCAAGCAGCCAAGAGGCCATCACCCAGGCACACTCCTTCCCCCACTGGGCACGGAGCCCGCAACCCAGGCATGTGCCCTGACCGGGAATCAAACCCTGACCTCCTGGTTCATAGGTCAACACTCAACCACTGAGCCACACTCCTTAGACCCGGCTCTCACAAACCCAAGGGGCTTGGAAGCCTGGCGTTCTCTCTTTGAAGGTAATCGAAAGTAACTGAAGGACAAGCTGCCCTTTGGAGAAATGGCTATGGGTGTCAGTATCGTGTAGCCTTTTGGGTTTTCAGCCTCGTTAGGAAAACGAGGCCCAGAACGGGCGGGGTTTCTTTATGTCCCCGCCCGCACCGTCTACAGGAAATGTAAGAGGCCCAGGAGCCCTCACAAACCCAAGGGGCTTGGAAGCCTGGCGCTTTCTCTTTGAAGGTCATCGAAAGTAACTGAAGGACAAGCTGCCCTTTGGAGAAATGGTTATGGGTGTCAGTATCGTGTAGCCTTTTGGGTTTTCAGCCTCGTTAGGAAAACGAGGCCCAGAGCGGGCGGGGTTTCTTTATGTCCCCCCCACACACACACACACACCATCTACAGGAAATGTAAGAGGCCCGGGAGCCACGGGACACGATAAACACGAGGGGCAGGAGTGGCAGTGAAAGTGGGAGACCCCCCCCACTCAGAGCCAGCCTGCCACCCGACACCCCAGGCTGCCGAGGACCCCGCCACGGGAAGACGGTGCTCACCAGGAAGCGAATGGTTTCCAGACGGAGTTTTTTTATTTCTTACTAGAGGCCTGGTGCACGAAATTCGTGCACGGGCGGGAGGGTTCCCCTCAGCCCAGCCTGCACCCTCTCCAATCCAGGACCCCTTGGGGGATGTCCAACTGCCGGTTTAGGCCTGATCCTGGGGACAGAGAACCATCAATGTGAGAAACATCAATAGGTTGCCTCCTCATGCACCTCGACCAGAGATCAAACCCACAATCTAGGTATGACCTGACTGGGAAATTGAACCTGTAACCTGGGGATCGGGCCTAAACCAGTAGTCGGACATCCCTCTCACAATCCTGGACTGCTGGCTCCTAATCGCTCACCTGCCTGCCTGCCTGGTCGCCTCTAACTGCCCCCTACACCAGCCTGATCGCCCCTCACTGTCTGTGTGTTGGCCAGGTCGCCCCCAACTGCCCCCTCCCTGTCATCCTGGTCGCTCCTAACTGCCCCACCCCCCGCCAGCCTGGTTGCCCCC